AATAAATAAATAGATAAATGAAACGAATGAAGAGATGGATGGGATGTATGGGATGGAGAGATGCAGAGAGAGAGCCATGTTGACGTCGATTTAAACTTTTCTTACCAATTAAGCGCAACATTTTATGTCCATGGTAATATAATTTATCTTGCAAATTATGGTTTACTCGAATTTTTTACTCGAACTAGTTTTTGGACATTTATGGAACTAGATCATAAAACATTTAATTCTCCATTATTTAGATAATCATGATAATAAAAACACGAATAAAATAATTAAATTTAATATTTAATAAAACAATTTATTTACTAATAATAAAATGAATTCTACAAAATTGTTCAATAGATATATTAATATAATATTTCAGAATTATTAACTAAAATACAGTATAAGTACTGAATATTAAAAACTAGAAAATGAATGGGAGATCTGTATTACGTATACAACCGTTTGATTATCTAATCGGTTGTACTTTTGGTTATATTTTTATCAATGAGTTTGTAATCATATTCTACAGTATTACCGTTCCTACCCTTATACCATATATTCAATTTACCATATTTGTGATGCAATGCTATGCTAACGACAAACATATTACCAGTACTTGTATTGAGCGTTTACTGTACGCCTAAATCTCGTATTACATGCAGTACTTTTGCTTAGTATGAGTCAAGTGTAAAGGTGGAAATATTGCGTACAGTTAGCACTCAATACAATAGCATTGCGCCTATGGTGTATTGAATATATGGTATAAGGGTAGGCACGGTATAATTGTATGTATTATACTGCATATAAATTCAATAATGTAAGTTTTAAATTATACCATTAGAGCTATTATTTTACAGATTCAACACATATTAAACGATACATGATATCAATTATCAACAAAAATGAGACAAATATATTTAATAATATTTAAAAAATAAACTCAATATTAAGTTTCATATCTGTTTGTTTAGTGTCTAATGTCTGGTCACCGAATGTGTGCTTCAATTTGTGTTACTTTTCAAATGAATGAAATATTGAAATACAATACAATATATATACGTATAATAGAGAAAATAGTTGTATTTTTGTTAATTAGTAATTTATAAGTAAATAAACTAAAAATATTTAAAATTCAAATAAAGATAACATTCATTAGGAGATAATAAGCAATACATACTTGTTTAACTGTTAATTCTACAAAGATGATATATAACATATTAAGTTATAATAAATTTTGAAACTCAGATAAATAACAAACAAAACAATGTAATTTAGTGAAAATTTCTATTACCCTAAGTAAACAAGTATAGTATACAGTATACCCTCCAACTCCTCAGCAAGAAATCCCTCTCTATAGCCAACTATTTGGCAACATTTTAAGAATTTCCTACCGAATACTTACAACGTTAAAAAAGAACCCACACTTACAACTTGTTAAGGAAATACCTCTCTATGAGAAACGATTTTGGTCTGCAAACTGCCCGTTACTAATAGAGTGGTCGCACAGTATATAAAATATTCGGTATTTCAATCATATCTGAGAAGGATATTCCGTTTTTGACTTATTATAGGATCAATTGTGGCCAAAATAATCTGGATATTCAACAATACACATAACATTCAAATACAGTGTAGGACTTAATCATAACCATAGCTTTGTGTTACGTTAAGTTTAAAATGGATTCCCAGATTCATATGGACTTATTTGGTTTGCAAAATGTGCGAATGGACTTAACGGCCTAAAAATAACTGAAATCACAACGATTTTGTACATTCTATGACATTATACAGTATTTTTATACGAATGGCCACATATAATGTCATTTCAGAAGTATATGTATTTTCAACGATATAACTCATATACAAAATTCTACAATTTAGGTAATATTTGTGCGATGAGGCGGTCATTCGCACATTTTGTTAGCGCAAACCCAATAATACGGTCATATTTACCAAAATATACCCACAATTAAAACATAATTTCCTCTTTAGTAGTGTTTTGTTTTGTCAAACAATTGAAACATTTTCTATAAATTGTTTTAAAACATTAAGTCATGTATTGTAATGAATATTTAAATGATTGACAATCAAATCAAATGTAAAATAGTTGTTTAAAATAAGTGTAATTCAATATAAATGAAATAAATTAGAATTCTTTCATAAATATATTAAAAATAATATTTGAATCATAAAAGTAATTGAGAACTAAAATAATTAATATATAAAAAACTGTTGTGTTGTGAAAAAAGAGTTAAAATAACGGTTGAAAGTATTCGGCATTTTATAAATACACATATAATTCAATATAAAATGTAATGAAACCGAAATTGACGCCAAAATTGCATTGAAAAGGAGAATGAGTTACGATTTTTTCATCTTTTTATCGCACTTTTTCTCATCGATATAATGGAGTTTTCGTTTGCAATGCTTTCCCTCGACTCGATGGACAACCGGTAGACCATCGCTAACGTTGTCTTCAATTGCATTCACTTCAGGGGAAGCGGTGGTCGGCTTCTCATCAATGGGTTTGAATACTTCGGGAACGAGAAGTGAATCGTTTTCAATGGAAGTGTCGCCACATCTGCAGTGATTGGGTTTAGTATTGGGAGTGGGGGTCGAACTGGACGGAGAGGTCGATCGCCAATATTGCAGTTCAGTCTTGCATTTACTCAACTCTTCCAAAACAGCACTCATTTTGCGATTAGTTGTCTCTAACTTCTTGTCGTAATCATCAAAACGAGTTCGCATACCATTAGTAATTCTCTGCTGTTGTGACCATTTCTTCTTCGCCAGCATTACCTCTCTTTTCAGTGACAGTATTTGACTGTTATTTCGCTTCACATATAACTCGGCGTTCTTTAAGCGCTTCTTCAAAGCGATTGTTTCAGAATTCTTGTAACCGGAAGTCGAGGCCAAAGAATTGGCGTTTGATTTAATACTTTTCTTGCGGGTCGAGTGATGTATACCTTTAGTGGTATTGTCCATAAGCGAGAGCTGTGTCTGTGGAGAACCGGTAAGCGTTGGCGAGTAGTCGAGCAAATAGTCGGCGACTCCGAAGTAATTGATTTCTGGAAGCGTTGGCTCAATATGTTCTTTGAAGTACTCCATA